TAAAAAAAATTAAACAGGATAGAACAGTAAAACAGAGGCAAAAGCGTCAGTTCACGGTTAATAAACGGTGACTTTCTACTGAGTTTTAGTCAGAAGTGTATATATGTGCCTAAATGAGTAGGTGTGGAAATCATGGGTTTTGGGTTGGTTTGGATAAGAATTGGTATTGGAGTTAATTATTTCAATCTGACTCACCACTGGTAGTGTTTGTGTATGAATTTGGTCAAGTTTATAACTTGATTAGTCATAAAATTAAACCTCTTAAAAATCAAGTTAAGCCAACTAACAAAGTACATAGAAAATTTGAATTGTGTTAGTTGGCTACATCCGTGTATATACTCTCTTACACTCAAACTTGAATTATTCTTAACATAGATTAGAATAGTTTACGTATCATATTGGAAAAGAAAAAACCTAACAAAATTGTATAAATTAATTTTTGTGAGGATGTGCTTTGTTTGGCTTACCTTGGTTTATACGAAACTTTTGTATGAGCTTAGAAAAGTTGAATGACTGTTCTTGAATTTTCAATTGATTTTTAGGTGGAACAAAAGCTGTTTTCGTGGTATCACATTAGATTAGTGCATGTATAAAGCTTATTGATCACATATACTATGCATCATCGTGCATGTGTTGTTCGTGTGTTTGACTGGAGTTTTACTATACATAAGGGGACGTGGGTGAATGTTAAACATTGTCCCATATTGAATAATTAAGAAACTTTACATACATTTATAAGTAATCGATCTCCTATCATTGCCAATTAATTTTACGACGTGGCTTCAACTTCCTTAAATGTCTAAGTAAATTTGGACGACTTGACAAGATTACACACTTATGTGTACAGATTGGCAAAACAATAGTGAGATTGATTGCAGACTTTTCTTTAAGAATTTTCAGCCCCAAAAACTCTAGTTCTTAATCCAATTGATTTTTTTGTTGACTATAAGATGAGTTTATTTCAAAGATTGTACGTCACCAATTTCAAAGATTGTACGTCACCACCATACTCGTGTTGTCAATTTAATTGCCAAGTGTACGACGTTGATGCAATGTGTGACCAAATTGAAAGAAGAAGGGAACGGGATCCCCTCCTGAGCGTGAGGACTAGAGCTTGCTAAGTAGCTCATATAAACCTTTAAAATTTGATTCAACAGCTGTAATTATTATAATTTTTAGAGAGATCTTCTGTTTGTAGTCGTTTGATCAAATTTCAAGAGTTCAGATGGGTTGCTTAGCAGACTCTGATCCCCATGCTCAAGAGGGGATCCAGTTCCAAAGAACAAGGACAGGTTTTCATAATAACCAGATTCATGCTTGGGTCTACCTTCCAACCTCTTTAATTCCATGTTGTAAATTTGTAATTTAATTAATAACTGAAAATATTACATTATTTCTCAGTCGGGATTTTTCTAGTTGACAACTTTTTTTCCAAAGTATAAAGTGCACTAAATGGGTAATATGCATGTAATGTCTAGAAGGCAGCCAGGTGGGGGTTTGTATAAGCACTTAGCATCAAATTTTTGTGGATATTTGTAAATGTACTTAATTGATAACTGCTAGTATTATTTACTTTTTATATTATTTTGTTACAAATAAAAAAAAAATTGTGAAAAATGAAGGAGGAGTGCCGTTTAGATGTATTTGGACACAGAGAAACAAACAGTTTTTTCTTGTTGTTTGTTTTTTATTTAAAATAAATCCCATTGAACAGCATGTGCCTAATATTATGACTCTCTTCTTCTTTGCCTAATCTTGATCTTAATATTTTGGTAGGTTTTCATTTGATTTTTCAAATACGACTTGTAGTTCACAACTGTTCAACTTGTGAAGAGAGTTATCCTTTCGTTTAAGCTCCAATGTTGGACTCTCCCTTCCCTCAATGTCATTTGCATAACCAATATTACAAAAAAAAAAAAAAAAAAAAAAAAAAAAAAAGAACACGAGAGTCTTTTAATGACATTCTAACTTGTTCACATTGCCTTTTACTATTTTGATCTCCCTTTATGATTTAGTGATACTCGGCTCCATTACAAGTAAAAGATCTCAAGTTCCAACTACATGATTGACGAGTTTGATACTCGTCTCCACTAAAAGGAGAAGATCTCAAGTTTCAACTGCATGGTTGACGAGTTTGATACTCAATTATGGTCACTTATGTGGTTTAACATGCTCCAAATTGGAAAGATGATATAACCTTAAACGATGTAGGTGGAGCGATTGAATTTGGGGGTGAAAAATGTGAAGTATAAGCACTCAAGAGTGTGGAGCAACACCAAACGTAGCCTGGACACACGGGTCCAAGCCTGCCAAGCTTGTGGGCTTGAACTAAGAATCCCCCTCAGTGGATTACTGAATCATGCACCTCTGAAAGATCCATGCATATCCCCTCATGAGTACAAGTTTGTGAATTTCCAAATAGTTTCGTGGATACTTAATTGATAATACCAAGTAATGCTTTGGTGACTCGGATACTCTAATGACATACTTGCTTGATTAATCATCCAGTTATATGAGTTGTAACATGAATTAACATACTCCAAATTCGAGTGTCCATTACAATCACTTCATACTCCAAGTCAGGTTTTAAGATTGATAATACTATATCTGCCCTCAATTCATTGGAATATTAACACATGAATTTATGCGGGTTTCAATTGCAAATGTTTTCTGACATTGACGCAACTCCTCACTTTGATCCCTAAGTTTCAATTGATCAATATTAACCTTCTTTTTTATCTTACTATTTCTCCAATTGATTTGTTATTTTTGTGAGTTTTCACCGTAATCACAATTTTTAGCTTAGCACATGACTTGTGAAACTGACAAAGTGACAACTATTTGCTCTATGAAGAGGATCACTAATTAATATTTAGTGTGTCACTAATTTTATAGAACTAGGACATCTTCATTGCAGCCAGTATGCTTTGGTCGACAACCAAAACAAAATCAGTGCTACTTTTCATTTGCTTAATCATATCTGGTAAACAGGCCACCGCGCATTTTTCTTTTTCAACCTTTAATTTTCCTTGTAATAATGCTTGTCAGTGTATACATCGCCATCCTTTTGGGATCACCATCAGCTAAATGGAAGTCAAAATAACTTTTAGGTTCTTAATCCCAAATCCAATTGATAATAAGGAGCACCTAAAGACGTGGATATCGGGTGACGATATATGCATGTACTGTTTACAAAGCGGCCGGGTTGGCCGTTGTATAAGAACTTATTTTGGTCGGTTTGGATAAGCACTTAATTGGAAGCAGATTTTATGTGTATATTTGTGAATTTCCTTAAATGATAAGTGATAAGTGTTAGAACTAAATAAGATAATACTGACCCAAAATGAAATGTCAAAAAGAAGGAGTGCCGTTTGTAGATGTATTTGGACATATTTCAAAAAGGAGTTCACAAGCAACTTTCTCCTCTTGTTTATTTGTTCTCTAGATGAATCTACAAAACACGTGCCTAACAAATTAATTTAATTACGTTTTACTAACCATTATTTGTTTTAGTAATATTTCTTTTTCGTAATATTAATTGAGATTTCGTTTTTAAATCTTATTCTACTAAAGGCCAAAAGTTGCATATGATAAATTATCATAATAATGAGGGCCTTCCACCTTACTCGAATTCAAATCCTCACTCTCCCCTCAATTGAAGTAATATTGCTTATACTAAAAATATTACTTGGCCATTTAGGTCTCCAATCTGTTTGTGGCCTTTTCTTTAGGCTTGATCGAATTGAGCCTGACCCAAATTTACCCTTCGTTATTGTCTAAAGCCCAAATTTGCCAATTACATATTTTCTTTGGTTAATTACCCACTACACTAATCATCAAATCTTTCCATAACTTCTCAAATATGGCACCTTTATTTTCAAGGATAATACTTGCATTGTGGGGATGCACATATTCAATTTGCAAATAACATATAATGATGGAATAAAATTAAAGATCTGAACCGTTCTACTAATTAATCTTAATTTGAAGACCATCTCTACACCGTCAATTTTTTTTATACATTTAAATGACTAAATCACTCCAATTGAAATGATTTTTTTAGGGTGATCTTCAAATGAAGAATAAAAAAAATTAAATGGTTCTGGATTATAAAATTTGTACAGTCAAGATATGTTATTCGCAAGAGAAGAATGTAAGTATTATCCTATTTTTAATACAACAAAATAATTTGCACTAAGCAATGAAAGACTAAGGTTAAGCCACAGAATCAGTTGATCATAACAATTAGATACCGAAACTTATCACATTGTAAAACTAGAACTATATCTTTAAAGTCGCGACGAGGGCATCGATTGCCCCTAGCTTAGTGGCCCAACCATGGTAGAAGAGGACATCAATTGCCTTTGGCGAGAATAAAACCTAATATCTCTTATTCATAAGTAAAGAAGAATACCACTAGATCATAGTATTAAGTAGCAGAGTCAAAAACTTAAAAGGGCAAAAAGAACAAATTTTGGGTACTTGGTGTAGACTAAGACCTAGTTTGGTACTGAGGTGATTCTGAAAAAAGCTGCTATCAAAAAAAGCTGGGAGCTGTTTTTGTGTTTGGTAAACACTCAGCTTCAGCTTTTTTTTCACAGTTTTGGATGAAAAAAAGCCAAAAACAAGAAGCTGCAAAACCCAGCTTTGAAAAACCGGTTTTTTTTCACATTTGTTTTACATAAAAGTTTACCAAACACTCTAATACTGTTTTTTTTTTTTTCAAAAGCACTTTTACAAAAAAGTTTACCAAACACTCTGCTACTTTATTTCACAGCTGCTTATTCTCACAGCACAGTAGAAGCAGTTTTTTTTCAAAGCACAGCAATACCAAACCAGCCCTAAATTCTATGGGGTTCATAGCAACTCTCGAAAAGAGTCGGGACAACAGAAAACATAGCCCATGCACAAAGCTGGGCCCAAATTGTTTGGGCTTTTAACTAAACTTGAGCTTCTTAAAATGTCAGCCGAAAGAATTGTTGTCAGTGGAAGTCCCTCTACGAAGTCGCCTGGAGATACACCTACACAGCAACAATGGAGGAAAGCAGTGCACAGAGGCGACTGGATTCAATTTCTCGTCACCTTCTATTGCAACCTCCTCAACCTAACCATGGCCTTCAACAGGTAGGATTGAATTCCTTTTTTATTTACTTTTAGTTTTTGGGTTGTATTTTGCTGAATTTGCTGAAAAACTGAAACAAAAAAAAAAAAAAAAAAAAAACCCAAAAGAATGCTGTATTTGATGAATTATAATTGGTAGGCGGTGTTATTAAGTAATGGGAAACCGGAAAGTGAAGGGTCAGAGGCTGTGGTGATAGGAGGCATGGTGTTGGACATTCATGCCACACCTTCCATCCCTTCAAATCCCAGAACCACCACTCCTGGCAAGGTATTTGTTAGTTTAATTTTACTTCCCACAAATTTTTATTTGAATTTATTTTTCATATTAAGTGTTTTCTTTTGTGTGAATTTGAATCGGGTATCGAACATTGTCTTCTTATTTGTGTCTGGTAAACTACATTGGTTGGTATTTGAGATTCCACTTTTATTAAAGAACTTGAAGTAATGAATGAAAAGGATTTTGTGCTCCAAGTCCCTTCCTTTTGAATGTAAAATGACCAGTAGACATGAGTTATGTCGGTTAGCTAGGGCACTGTGGTGAAAATATCGCCTTGTGCTTATAAAATGATCAATGCTCAAGGGGGAAAGGAAGTTTTCATTTGTGTTTGATTGAGTATTTTAACCCTTTGAAATTCTATACCCGAATTCCTAGTTTTCCCAATTGTAGCTTTAAAGGATCAAGTAATTTTTTTCCCCTGCTAACATAGAGACGGTTTCTGGCATGTCTAGAATTTGGAAAGATTAGTGCTTTTACTAGATATACTTATTTGCCAATGCTTACCTGTGGGAATTATCTGTTCAGGTCAGCTATGTATTAGGAGGGGTAGCAAGGAATGTTGCCGAGTGCATGTCAAAGCTAGGAGCTAAGCCCTTCATGATAAGCGCCTTGGGCCTTGACATGGCAGGTGATCTTCTAACCTTTTTTTTATTTGACGTTACAATCATGGTTTTCCAATCTCAGTACAAGACATGTAGGTCTCGTCCTGAACCAGAGGTTGTGAAAACTCATGACAATTATTTGGATGCTTTGTAGGAAAATATCAAGTGAGGCTTTTGGGGCTGGGATACGCATCTGACATGTTTGATTAGTCATAATATAGGGATGCTAGTTTTCCGGTAATTTCAGGAACGATATGAACATAAGACAAATTTGAGTGCTCATTCTATTCACTCCAAAATCTGATTTTAGGATTGATAAGAATAATTGGAAATATTAATGTATTTGAATTTTAACAAGTGAACCTCAAAATATCTCTATTTGTTTCCCTGATAGGCTTAATCACTAGGCTGTGACTGTTTCTCTGAACTTTATATTTGCACCATAATCAAGATTTTTGTTCAGCACGTGACTTGTGAAACTGACAGCTTCTATGTTACTAGGAAACTTATTGTTGGAGCACTGGAAGTCTTCTAGGCTATCTATGGAAGGTCATCTATTATGTTTGAAATTTTATCTTTCACCTACACTGACTTTTGATATAGTAATAACTCTAGGTTGCAAAGAATTTTTTTTTTTTTTTTTAATATTTTATATAGCCAGTTTGACTTATCTTCCGGTGTGTGTGCGTGTGTGCATGTCTCATAGGGATAAACTACAATCAAGTTTTTGTGCCTTTTTCTCTTCATCTTGAAGTGATAAAAAATATGTTTACAGTTCCTAGTAGTATGTTAATTTGTAATGATGGTTTTGGAGTAGGCATTTTGAGGCACCAAAATGTTGAGACTCCTGTTGTGTGCAACGTACTTGATGTTAATGGGGAGGTGGCCGCTGGTGTTGCGAGTGTAGAAGCTCTCGTAAGTACAATTTCAATTAAATAAGTTGCTTATTTATGACAACGGTCAAATTGGAAAAGTAGAGAAAAGTTTATAAATTCTACAAGAAGCTGTTTTGCTTACATGATGACCATGGCACAGGAAAAGTTTCTGACGCCCGAGTGGATCCAACAGTTTAAATACAGTATACGCTCTGCTCCAGTGTTGATGATTGATGCAAACCTGAATCTTTCTGCTCTAAAAGCTTCTTGCCAATGTAATTCTACCATCTTGTACACACAAAACTCACACCCACACATACATACTCATTTGATATACAATATACATACATGTATATATATGTATGCTGTTATCATTGGTTCATTTCTTGGCTCAAAAGTAATTACAAATTTTTTTGTTCTTTTATTCCAAATGTTTATCTTCTCTCTTAATTTGGGTTTCTTTCAGTGGCAGCAGAATCTAAAATTCCAGTGTGGTTTGAGCCTGTATCGGTAACAAAATCTAGAAGAATCAATTCAATTTCCAAGTATGTGAGTGTTATGCTTTTGCACTTACATTCACATTTAGCAATTAATGTTCTTAAATGTTATATCCAGCTCATTTTGGGATTGGTTACTCCCTTTTTCTAGTCCGCAGTGTTATACCGTTTTAGTCTATTTTTCTTGCTGGGAGGTGCGGTATGGAAGAAAGGGTCCTGATCCGCATTTCCCCCTCCCTTCATTTGTACAGGATTTAATCTCAACAAAATTTCAGAGAGATGATCTCATTGTATAAACATGCTGTTTGTAGGGTAATTGGATCCAACCCCCTTGGCATCTTTTATCAAAACATGCATACAGTTATTTAAGGTTAAATAATAAAAACAGATTTTATGCTTGGTCCAAGTGTAATCTTTATATTTCCAGGGTTGCTTTTTTTCCTCATCAACGGCTAACATGCTGATCATTTGGTACAGGTAAGTTTTGCTTCACCCAACGAGGATGAACTTGTTGCCATGGCAAATGCTTTATCCGGTGGAAATGTGTTTTCTCCAATTGAAAGGGATCAATGCTCAACCGAAACTTTGTTCCATATGCTAAAACCCGCGGTCTGGGTTTTGCTAGAGAAAGGTATCAAAATAGTTGTTGTGACCGTTGGTTCAGATGGAGTGTTCTTATGCTCTAAAGGAGGGCCAAGCTTCATGAGAACTGTTTGCAAGGGAAACAAACCAAATGTTTCCAATGCGGAATTGTTTAACACTGTGACTGCAAGTTGTCCATCAAGTGCGTTCTCAAATCCTTTAGATTCTGACAAAAGCTCGTTTCTCTTTGCTGTGCAATTTCCTGCACTTCCTGCATCGGTGGTAAGGCTTACAGGAGCTGGCGATTGCTTGGTTGGGGGGACTGTTGCTTCCATTTGTGCAGGTTTAGATGTCATGCAAAGTCTAGCAGTTGGTATTGCAGCTTCCAAAGCTGCAGTTGAGGCAGAGACCAATGTGCCTCGTGTACTTAATCTGGCCGCAATAGCAGGTACGAGTTTGAAGCTGTATTTTGCATACAGAGTAAATAATGTGTGTTTCAAAATGGATTGGCGCTCATATTTTTTCCCATCGCATTCAGTTTACATGTTTGCTGGGAAGCTTAAGACAATAAGGTGGCCTAATTTCAGAATTTCGAGCTACCATGAAATCACCGCAGTTATCCATGTGATGCTTGAGATCTTAGCTACCACATTCACATGACAAACAGATGATATATCTCATTATAAATAAGTTGGAAAACAAATTTGTGAACCCCGTTTCTGAGATTCATCCAAATGATGTCGTGTAATGGGATTTCAGAAAAGAAAAAAAACACATTTAACTTTTGGCAGTTTTGCATGACTGAAAGAGGTTCAATTATTTGATGCGAGGCTGTATATACTGATTGTTATACAATTTGTTTGGATGCAGATGATGCAAAGTTGGTATACTCGGCTGCAAAAGTTGTGTTCCATCAATCAGTGCTTTAAAACCGTGGAATTGTGAATCAAGAGTTGAATTGGTTGAATTTTGCATATCAGATGGAAAATTTCGGTTGAGAACAATGTCAGATGGAAATTTCCACTTGAGAAACAACCGTGAGTCTTTGTTGTCTTGTAATGTCATGCATTTGAGTTTATGAGCTACTGGAGTTGTTTACTGATGAAAAATAATTAATGAAGAAGCAATGCTTATGGTTTGTGTGAGTAATTGGAAATTTCTCTGAACTCAACGTGAAACCAGTCACTTGGTACTACGGTCTAGTGGTATTCCTCTTCACTTATAAGTGAGAGGTCTTAGGTTCGATTTTCGCCAAAAGCAAATTTCAATCATATTATTGCTAGCCTATTATATTATTGTTGGCCCATTGTGAAGCTAAGCCTACCCTCTCTCTTAGTGTAAAAAATATTGTTCAGTTGTACACTAATAAGACGGTCTGGAGGCGTATAATCTTGTACGATGGGATGTTAGCTGGCTTTCACGTTCCAATGTGGCGCTCAAGAAATTGAGATTTTAGTGTTGCATTTAATTTATAACACCTCAATGATTTTTTCGTTTTATTTTTGTGCAATGCGATACTCTATTTTATAATTTATGAGGAGGGAATTTCAAATCCGACCAAAAAGAGACAAATTGAAGTGGCCTAACTTCTGCATCAAATGTACTCCTAGCCCTTAGCCCTAGGAATGGGTAGCGTCTGTGCCAGAAATCATCAAATTTTAGATCAGAAACGATAAGACCACAGAACATAAACAATGCTCATGTGCTCATATAAGTCAGTTCTAAATCTTCAGAGAACCACAAAACCAAAGCTGAAATATTAAGAATTCTCTGAGAGAAGACTAAAAAAAATATAAAGGAATGGTGCCGTACTAGAATAATATGGGAAACTCACCCCCAGAAAGCAGAAAAATAATAGGACGGAAAAATCATTCTTTGAATTAACATGATAAAAACCAAAACATGATTTAGGTGTTTAAATCACTGAAATTGAGAAAAACAAAGTACAAAACAATTTGAGAAAAACACTGAAATTGAAATGTGTGATGTCTAGAATTATTGTTCAGCTTTCCTTGTCAAATCTTGTAAATTGTACCACACATGCTCTCGATAGATTTAAAGTTCAAATGTCACTTTTGGGATCTTTGCTGCTGGAAATTATTGAGAAAATATCTTTTCAATGATTTAAAGAATAATAAGTTTACATGGCCTTGACTCACACTTGTGCTACCAACTCAGCCGAACTACCATAACAAACTTAGCCTAACTAATCACAGCAACTAACAACATATTACAACAGAATTAACCAAAGCTAAGTTCTATCTTTTACAAGAGAGTTACCCAAGAATACATAAAACCCTCATGTTGATTTCCTATCACGTGAACAACTTGCCCATTCGGCATATGAAAAGGCATTTATGCTCAGTGGTGTTGAACTTTTAGAAAGCCAAAAACTAGGGGTGGGCGCGGTGCGGTTCGGTGTGGTTTAAACCGAAACTTTTTACGGTGCGGTTTTGAAGTCAAAACCGAAATGAAACCAAACCGTTTGGTTTGGTTCAGTGCAGTTTCAAATGGTTTCAGTTTGGTTTTTGAGAAAAAAATGTACAATTTAAAATATACACATATTTATGCATAAGATGGTCCTATTTTCCTTGTATATTAATTAATGAATATGCAGCAAAATTGCACCAACAACAATGCAGCAAAAAACAGCGGCAAAACTGCCAAAAAAATGCAGCCAAACTGCATAAAAAACGCAGAAAAACTGCAGCAAAACAACACGAAAAACCGCACCAAAAATGCAGCAAAAAACTGCATTGAAACTGCAGCAAAAAACAGCAGCTAAACTGCAGCTAAACTGCACCAAAAAACTGCACCAAAACTGCACCAAAACTGAACCAAAAAACTGCACAAAACTGCACCAAAAAAACTGCACAAAACTGCACAGAAACGCATCACATCTACTAAAATTCAACTTGATCACCAATCACAATACTTTACTACAACCCAATTGAAAAGTTAAGTTTGCCATAATACAACTAAAGTTCAAACTTCAAAGTTTCAAACAAAGTTCAATGTCAAATGCCTTATGGCATTAGTACAACCAAAAAAATAAATGGTTCATGGAATTCAACAAAGTCTTGGTTTTCAACTTACTTTGCATCGTTCAAGTTTCAAACCTTTGTCTTTCCTTTTCCTTTTGGACACTTATTCTTTGAAGGTTTAGGAGGCCTTTGAGCTTGTGAAGACCTTGCACCTTGTAAACGCATAAAGGGAGGCTCTTGTGAATTAGAACCTTGAGATTGCTTTGGAGCTTGTTGTGGTTGTTGATCAAGAGTAAGAGAGGCAATGCTTGAAGTCGATTTGGCCAACTCTACACAATACAAAACATAAAAAATATAATTGATGTTTATTGAAAAAAAAAAAAAACGAAGAAAGTTCTTTTACTTCAAATGATATACTTACCCGATTCAATACTTTCATAGAACTCAATGTGGTCAATTGAAGGTGCATCATCCTCCAAAGTAATAATATTATCACCCATCAACCAATTTTGCATGCATATCAAGGCATCCACCGATTTAGGAGTTAAAGAACTCCTAAAATTCGAAATCACTCGACCACCGGTGCTAAAAGCACTCTCCGATGCCACGGTCGAAACTTGAATTGCAAGAATATCTTTTGCAATTACGGCCAATATAGGATACTTGTTACCATTTACCTTCTACCATATGAGAATGTTAAAATACTTTGTAGACTCCTCTTTTGTAATTTGAACCAAGGGATCAAACAAATAAGAATCCACCTCATCTCCCACCACTTTCTCATCACTATCTTCAACAAAATGCATCCATTCATCAATTAGATCATCTTCTGTCATAGCCACATTAGATGAGGTAGAAGAAGGTTGTGATTGTAAATTTTCCGATTTCTTCATGTATTTTCCACCTTCAACATTAGGAACATATTCATATAAAGGGCACGCAATATATTTTTTATTTCTTCAGTTTTCAATTGTGCCTCAATGTCTGAAAGTTTCTTTCTAAAGAGTTGTGTGACATGCCTCAACTTAAACCTCGGATCTAAAACAAGTCCAATCACAATAAGACGGTTCAATTCATGGTATGAGTCAAAATATTTTTCATATTTTGATCTCATATCGGATGCCATTGCCTTCAATAATTGCTCCAATAGTAAACCCACTTGCATGTTGGCTCGGGATTCCAAGTTATTGATGGCGGTCTCCACTTTTATGACATCATGGAGGCGGGTATGAACTGTGGAATGTGTAGAAGCACTCTCCCTCAAAGTCACATCATAAAACACCCATAAAAACTTGACAAAAACCTCTGCCTTAGACCAATCTTCTTCCGTTGGTGGTCCAACCTTTTTCCTTCCTTTGGTTTAGCAAACAATAATAACACCATCTTCATCTTTTTCATCTTCAACTTCCTTAAAGTAAGCCAATAAGGGACTTGCTTCATCCTCTGCCATTGTAGCAAAGGCCTTCTTAAATTTCAAGGCTACATCCAACATAACAAATGTAGAATTTCATCGAGTAGGGCAATCAAGGCAAACCGTTGCTTTGCACGTCAATTTCACCCTATTCACGGCTTACCTAAAAAGCTCCAATCTTTGTGGAGAGCTCCTCACAAACCTCACACAATTTCTTATAGCTAATAGACCATTATTTAGCCTTTTCATCCCATGACTCATAGTTATGTTGGTTATGTGAGCGATACATCTCACATGTAAATACTTGCCACTTAGAATAGCTTGTGAATTTTCCCACCTATTCATTTTTGTCATAAGTTGATCCAAAGCAACTTTATTTGCGGAAGCATTGTCCATTGTGATTGTCATAATTTTGTCTATCCCCCATTCCAACAAGCAACTTTCAATTAAATTTGCAATTGTGGTTCCATAGTGGTTAGGAATAACACAAAAGTTTATGATCCTCTTATGCATATTCCATTCATGATCAATAAAATGTGCAGTAAGAACCATATAATTGGTGTTTGATGTGCTTGTCCAAGTGTTGGTAGTGAGACAAATTCTATAGGCACTTAAGGTTTTCTTCAAATAAGCTTTCAATTCATTAGACATGTTGAGAAAAGTTCTCACAAGAGTTCTTCTAGAAGGCACTTTAAACAATGGAATACCAACAGCATAAAAAAGCCGAAACCTCATTTTATCAACTGTACTAAATGGCATCTCATCTATGACTACCATCTTGACACATGCTTCTAACACACTCTCTTGTGAAAATCCAACAGCGACCAGATTGTTACCTTTACTTTTATCCCCAACCAAAACTTTTTGCTTTTTACTTCTATCCCCTTGGTAAAATTTACAATATCTTTCAATGTGGTGTCTCATGCTTGTGGTGCCATTAACTCTCGGTTCAGCTGCATAGTCACCTACACTGCTCTGTTTTAGGCAATAATTACATTTAGCTCTCCTAAGTTTTGCTTCGGCCAAATATTTCTCCCCCTTTTCATTGATTTTCGACTATTTTTTCATCACATAATATGTTGTAAAATGATCCCAAACCCAGCTACGTTATCTTGAATCAAAGTTACTTACTTTTTCATCTTCGCCCTTAGATTCTTCGCCATCATTTGCAGGGCTTCAACGTCTATTTCATTTTCCGAGTCAATTTATATTGCCTTGTCCTCCGGCTTCTCAAGGGAGTCCCCTATACAAGAGTAACCAATCCCACTATGCTTGCTGGATTCTTCATATCTTGACTGAAATAAAATACGAAATGCTCATTATCTTATATGAATGGAATGCACAGAATCTACAACACACTACACAAGCATTTAGGGTCTAAGGCTTATATTTTTGGCTTTTGGCCTACCACTGGACATGGTCTTAAAGCCACTGTCATTCACATGAGAAGCTTGACCGAAGCAGACCATGGCCTTTCTATAATCCTAAAGTAAAAAGTCACAAATTGACACCGAACCAATAAAACAAAAGAACCAAGATAAAAGACCAACCAAGAAGAATCATACAACAAAAATCCCCAAACGGGAATTCGAGATAAGTATCAGCTCTCCAACTTCAAAGAAGAAAAAAAAAATCATACATCCACAGCAAATCAGTTATCACTATCAGACCGTTTAAAAAACTAAGTGCTCCCTCCTCAGATGTTCTATAAGCAGCCAAATCAAGCAAGCTCGAGCAAATAAAAACATAACCAG